TGGAACCCAAAATTTGGGAACAGAGAAGAAGAATCAGTAGTTGGAAAACATGGGCTTGGTGACAGAAATGAAGCTGGAGATAGAATGATTGAATTTTGTACAATCAATGACTTATTCATTGCAAATACGTTTTGTAAGAAACATAAATGCAGGTTATACACATGGATTTCACCTGACGGTATGCATAGGAACCAGATCTATTATATCTGTGGGAGAAAAATGCTGGAGAAGCTCAATAACAGCCGTGAAAATTAGGTCAAGGGCTGATTGTGGAACAGACCATGAACTACTTATATGCAAGTTCAAGCTGAAGCTGAGGAAAATTAAACTGAATCCACAGGAGCCAAAGTATGACTTTGATTTCATCCCACCTGAATTTCAGAATCATCTCAGGAACAGGTTTGAGGCTTTGCACACTAATGAGTGAAGACCAGATGAGTTGTGGGAGGATGTCAAAGGTATCATCCAGGAAGAGTGCAAACGGTCATTACAAAGAGAAATTATGTCAGTTTAAAGACTAAGGTAAACCTAATTCAAGCCATGGTCTTTCCAAGTACCAGGAAGTTTTGTTGTTATTGTTAGGTGCCATCGAGTTGAGTACAACTCATATGAACAGCCAACCTGAAACCTGTCCTATCACGTGCCAGCCTCAGCATCTCTAAGACACCAGAACCTACTGCTGTAGGCACCATTTTAATTCATCTTGAAGGGGGCTTCCTATTTGTTGACCCTCCATCTTTCCAACCATGATGTCCCTTTCCAAGGAAAAAGGCCTCATTTAGCTAAATGTCCAAAGTAAGAAAAATGAAGCTTCACCATCTTTGCCTCGAAGGAACACCCTGGTCACACCCTTTCCAGGTTATATGTGTTCTCTTTTAAGTCTATGGGATATTCAGTACTCATATTCAGCACCACAATGTAAAGGCATCAGTCAGTTCTTCTATCAAGCAGACTGCTTAATTGTGCTTATGCAAAACCTATACCTAGACCAAGAGACTGTCATGGGAACAGTGCAAGGGGACACTATGAAGTTTAAAATTAAAAAAGGAGTGCATCATGATTGTATCCTTGCTCCATATCTATTCAATCTATGTGAATAGATTCAAGAACTTGTACTCTATGAAGAATGGGAGAAGATTCATCAGTAGCCAGCATTATGCAGATGATAACAACCTTGCTTGCTAAAAGTGAGAACTTGAAGAGTTTGCTGTAGAAGATCAAAGTATACAGCCTCCAATATAGATTTTGTCTCAATATCAGGAAAACAAAAATTCTCACTACTGGGCCAATAGGCAATATGATAGAAAAAAGATTTAAATTGTCAATTACTTCATCTGACTTGGATCCACAATCAATACACTTAGTACCAGCAATCAGGGGATTAGGAGATGTACTGCAATGGGAAAGTCTGAACGCAGGGACCTCTTCAAGATATTGAGGAGCAATGATGATGATGTCAGTTTGAGGACTAAGGTGAACCTGACTCAAGCCATGTTCTTTTCCATCACTTGCTATGCATCTGTATTGAGACGGTGACTGCTGCAATGTGCTCTAATGTTTCAGGAAGTATGAGGATGGTACAGGAAAAGACAGGGTTCAGATCAATGCCTGGCAATAATAGCTATGCATCTGCGAGCCAGAAAGTGAATAAGGATGACAGAAAAAAAATTGATGTCTTTGAGTTATGGCGTTGGAGAACTACTAAAAGAGCAAACAGATATGTCTCAGTGGTGGTGCAACCAGAGTGGTCCTTTGAGGAATACATGGCAGAGCTTCATCTCACATACTTTGGTCATGTCTCTAGGAGAGCTTATTCCTTAGTCAGTGAAATAGAAGAAAACTCTCAACCAGAGGATTGACACAGTGACTGCAGCAATGGGCTCAAGTATGTCAGGGATGGTGAAGATGGTACAGGATAGGACAGAGTTCAGGTCTGTTGTTCATAAGGTCAGTATGAGTCACACTTGAGTCCATGGCACTGACCAACGTCATATTCATCAGGCTACAAGTCACATATTTCTAGGCCCTGACAACTTTTTCATTGACACAGTAATTGTAACAGTGGAGCTGGTTATAGTAGAGGTTGTGAGGATGGCACAGGATGGGGCAGTTTCATGCTACTGTGCATGCATTGCAACTGACTATAATACCTAGTTTATGATACATAGCAACCACAACAATATTTTTTCTTTCACATATATGCCCTAGCCTCAATTTCTTTAGTGATAGGCTTATCTTTTTCTTCCAAAGGAATTTTCTATGAGCTTTCTGTTGGATCCTACTTCTTAGCACTGTATTTTCTTTTCACTAACTCTGCTGTCTCATCATTCCTTTTTTTTTTTCATCATTCTTCTATGTCAGATGTCTCTTCAAACCTCAGCCATGAAATCTTTAGCTAGTTTTCTTACAGTAACTACAATTGGAGGGTGAGATCTTCTGGATTATTGCAGTTGAAAAGCTCATGGAAAACTTTTTAATTTTCTTGATTATTTGAAGGAGGGTAGTAATTTTGAACATAGTATGTGTCTATTTTCTTTAATGCTAACTACTTTCCCTAGTCTTCCTAGAATATTAAAATGATCATGCAAGAATTATATCTATTCTTTTGACTCACATCCTAAGTAGTTGTAGTATACTTACTGTAGGGTAAGGCTAATTAATATTCCCCCTTTCCTTTCTCGTATGCAGGTACAAATCTTTATATCCAATAATTCTTCCCTCCCTTCTCTTTCCATATTCTCTATATTTATCTGCATTTTCATTTCAGTCTCTATTTTTCTCACTTTATGTTCAACTTGTTACTTGCCCTCTGCTTGTCACATTCATGAGTCATATTAATAAAAGTATGGAAAATTCAATATTCTTGTAATTATTGCAATTGTATTATTATTTCCTTCTGTGTCATTCAATAGTTGACAGTCAGTAAAATTGCTTTTATTCAAAGTTATTATTTTACTGTTCCTTGACTATAAGGAACTTAAGTCTTTACTTACAATGTCTTCTACTTTTTCAGCAAGTTTATGAAAAATGGTATTAATTCTTTTTTCTATGATTGCTAGAACTCACCAGTGAAGCCATCTTGAAATATTTTGATGTCTGCATCAATAAATTGTCTACTTTTTATACATTTATTTGAATACATCCTTTCACTTTAGTTATTTTGGGTCCAGATACTTTCCATTTCATTTAATTGTATAATTAGTTTACATATAACTAGCTGTTCATGTTATATGAATGGCTTGGAACTTAAAGGCAGTGCTTCTCTGGAAGTTGGAGTCCACCGATGGCTTGGCAAGAGAAAGATGCACAACCTTCTCGGGTGTGATTTATAGCTCCTGAGAAAAACCTTTGAAGGATTGGCTGAGTTGATTCTGATTCTATGGCAATGAGAGGAGCTTTTTTTCAGTAATATGGTACTCTTTTGTTGTTGCTGTTGTTGTTGGTTTATCTATAAAGATTTTTAATTTTAATTATTTTCCCCCATAGAACCAACATTTAATTTTTTTACTTCTATTATTATGCTGTTGTTGTTATGTGTTGTCAAATTTCCTGTAATTCATAGCGATCCTATGTACAACAACCCTAAATCCTGCCCTATCCTGTGCCAAAACTCACTGTCTCTAACACACCTACTCCCATTACCCCTGTCACTGAATCAATCCATTTCATTGAGGGTCTTCCTCTCCTAACCTGTCCCTCCACCTTCTCAAGTATGATGTTCCTCTCCAAGAACTGGTCCCACCTTGCAACATGTCCAAAGTATGTCAGATGAAGGTGCAGAATCCTTGCCTCCAAGGAACAGTCTGATCTCACTCTCTCTAGGACGAACCTGTTTGTTCTCTTAGCAATCCATGGTATATTGAATACTCTTCTCCAACACCACAGCTCAAAGGCATCAGTTCTCCTTCTATCATCCCTGGTCATCGTCTGGCTCTCTGATGCATAAAAAATGATTGCAAAGACAATGATCTGTATCAGGCACACCTTCTGCTGATCAGCAGACAGATTTAAACTTTCAACCTTTCAGTTAGCAGTTGAGCACTTAGTCACTACATTGCAATGGCTCGACACTAAAACCTGCCCTTTGCAAAAATAAAATCAGCACATAAGCTTTTATTTTTTTACATGGGACCATTATTTTCCAGATACATTCACAACCCATAATAAATATTATAAATATTTAATAAATATTTGAATAAAGAAATAATATACTGATCCCCACAATCTTCTTTCACTCTCATTAACGAAAATAATAAATTGAAAGTTAAAGTGGAAATTACTTATCACAAACATTGAATGTGAATTTAGAAGGTTCAAATATGAACTGAAATAATGTCTGAGGGACCATTATATAGTCTTAATTTTGAGCATCCAGGGAGGTGTGCATAATGAAGGATAACATGAAAGACTTTAGCAACATCTGAATACTTTTAACTCATTCTTTCTTTACAAATATTCTCACAACACGGTCCCGAATTTGTTTTGTCCTGACTCCATAAATGACTGGATTCAAACAAGGAGGAACAACTACATATAGATTGGCCAGAAGAATGTGAATGTATCGAGGAACATTTTTACCAAATCGGTGAGTCATAAAGGAGAAAAATGCCGGTGTGTAGAAGGCCAAAATGACACAGACATGTGAGCCACATGTACTAAGGGCTTTGAGTCTGGCATCCCTGGAAGGTAGACGGAAAACAGCACGGAGAATTTGAACATAAGAAAGGGCAATAAGAATCAAGTCAAATATAAGGGCAGCGATCGTAAATAAGCCATAGATGATGTTAATTCTTATGCTAGCACAGGCAAGACGGGCAATTCCCATGTGTTCACAGTACGTATGAGGAATAATGTAGTGCCCACAGAAGGGCAATCTCTTAAGGAGAGGGCAGAAAGGAATGACAAGGAGGACTGGCCTCCCCACTACAACAGAAGCCATGATGGCAACCACTTTGTTGGTGAGGATAGTGGTGTATCTCAGGGGGTAGCAGATGGCGACAAAACGGTCAATTGCCATGGCCAGAAGCACAACAGATTCCATACCAGTGTAGGTGTGGATGAAGAACATTTGGATGAGGCAGCCTTCAAAGCTTATCTCCCGAAGATTGAACCAGAAGATGGCCAGCATCTTGGGGATTGTAGAAGTTGAGAGTCCTAGATCAATAAAGGAGAGAAGAGCCAGAAAATAGAACATAGGTTGATGAAGACTTTGCTCAGTCTTGATCACAAACAGGATGGTGACATTTCCTATAAGTGCTATGAGATAAACAATAAAGAAAGGGAAGGCAATCCAGATGTGAAAATCTTCCAACCCTGGAACACCCAGAAGGAGGAATGTGGAGGGATATGAGTGAGTGCCATTGGCAGAGAACATCCTCTTGAGGTTTCTTGGAGTATATATCTTCAGTATTGCTAAGAAGAAATAAGGAAATATATGATGATTGAATATAACTAAACATAAAAATATGCCCATAAAATTGTTAAGATGTATCAGAAGGTATAAATGTTGTTTGATGCCGTCGAGTCGTAGATGACTCATAGCAACCCTATGAACGAACGGCCCGAGCACTAGAAGGTAAATAGAGAATAATAAACTATCAGAGACAGTTAGATTCCCTCTTACATTTAACATGACCTTGGAGGCTAGGATCTTGAAGCTCATCTCACATATTTTGGGCACAAGGCCAGGAGGGACCAGTCCTTGGAGAAGGATGTCATGCTTGAAAGGTGTAGGAGAGGAAGATGAGATGGAGCAATGGGGTGGGTGTATCAGAGTCAGTGATACTGGCTCAGCATAGGATAGGCTTCAGAACTGTTGTACATAGGGTCACTATGAGTTGCAAGTGAAGCACATCACAAGAACAATAGCAAGGATTATAAATGACAGAAAAATGAGCAGTCCCTCCCTATGTGATTTATAGTCTGGAGGATCAGTTATGCCTTAGGCCCAACCCAATGACACATGAAACAATAATAACAACCAATAATGACACATAATCCAATAACAACAACAGGTGTTATGAAGGATTGAAACAGTCTTTTTCTGGCAATGTGCTATATGAAACTGTCTCATTACTTAGCTCATTGTTAGTGAAATGCCCATCTATCTGTGATCACCTATTTCATTTGAAAACTCATTCAGTGGCCAGGAATTTTTTCTAAATGACATCCATGGGCTTCGTTATTCGTTGTGAAATACATAAGAGGAAAAAACCCTAAAGCACCATGAAATGAGTAGGGTTGAAATAGAGGAAAATTTGGAATATGAAGATCAAGAAAGTTCTTCTATCTTTCATAATTTCTTCTTCTTTAGTCATTCAGGACTATAATTTTTTTTCTAAGACTGATGTTTTATATACATTCCATATAAGCAATTAAATTGTGCTTATATGACTTGATTGATTTGTTAATTAGTCAAAAATATTTTAACTAATCATAGAGGCAAATAAAAAATTAGCATAATCTTTTTAACAGAGATTGCTGTTGTTTGCTGTCAAGTTAGAGCCAATTCATAGATGACCTTACAGTAGGTTTTCAGAGACAGTAAGTATCGGAGGAGATTGCTCATCTTTCTCCCACAGAACAAGTTGGTGGATTTGAACCCTCATTCCTTTGGGCTGGCAATGTAATTCCTTTGTACTAGGCAACCAGAACTTTTTTTATTAGAGGCAGAAAAGAAAGAAAGAAAACCCATTTAATGAAATTCATTATCCATATATGATTTTTTTTTAAAATGGGGAGAAAAGTCCAACAATGAATGAATGGAATTTAAAAAAAAAAAAAGAGCAACTCAGAAAGTTAGGAAAAGGAAAATGTGTTCAACTTGATGGAAAATATCTACATGAAAGTTAGATTACCAACATCTTACTGAATGGTGAAGCACTGTGTGATGTGCCTACCACAATCAGGATAAGGTGAGAATATCATCCAAGTTTAATTTATTTAATATTTTATTGAGATGTTAACAAATTCAAGGTAGTAAAGAAAGGACATAAAAATGGAAAGAAAAATGCTCATACGGAAAGCTCTAGGGGCCTAGAGGGTCTGGTGTTACCTGAGAAGCCAAAGGCAGGCATTTAGAATTCATCAGCTGCTTCACAGGGAGCAATGGAAATCTTTTCTTGTTTGCCTCTAAAAACCACCGCAAGTTCAGCTATGAATCAGTTCCAACCCGATGACAATGAACAAGAACAAATAACAAAATTGTTTAAGATAAAATATTAAGTCTTCTGGACCTAACTATTTAGCTTACTTGTTACTTGAGAAAAGAATCAGTATTCCTATTTGCCAACAAAAGCAAATTCAGTGTTACTGGGCAACATGAATCTTGATTTCAAACTCACAACGCAAAAACAGCATATTAATGATTATTTTAAAAAAGATAAAACAAAACTATGTTGCAGACCCATGTTTATTGCTGTGTTATTCACCATAGCAAAGAGTTGGAAACAATGCAAGAGGCCATCAACAAACAAATGGAGAGAAAAACTATGGTACATTCACACAATGGAATACTGTGCACCAGTATTCTGGAAAACAATGAGTTCATAAAACATTACACAACACGGTTGACCCTGGGGGACATTATGCTGAGTGAAATATCTTAGTCTCAAAAGGACAAATACTGCATAACACCATTGTTATAAAGCAGGACTGACATGAGGAATTGGGAGGAGAATAGAAAAATAGTGTATAGGTAATTAACACTGTATTGGAACAGATGAAGGAAAGAACTGTTAAAAGGAATATATGATTAGGCATTATATGTAAGACAACCGTCCAGGATGAGAGGTACATTGTAAAGAGTACTGGGGGAGAGGGAGGTACGGGGAGGGAGGGAAGTAATTTTGCAACAATGAGTGAATATTAAACACACACGTACACACACACACAAAACAAACAAACAAACAACCCAAACCTATCTGAGGATTGTATTCTAAAATTACTTCTATTTTTTAAAAAAGTAAGATTTAGCTTTATTCCTAATATTTTTCCTTCTTATTCACACTCATCAGCTTCCTAGTAAATGTGAACCATGGTATATTATTTGTGAATGTTTACAACAAGTTCAATGATAACCCACATTCGCCTGAAAGATTATGAACTAGGTAGAACAACAAAAATCAAACAAAATACTCCTGTATTCTCTAGAAATATGCCCTACATTTTTCTTCAAGATTTTTACTGTTTATAATTTATTTTTCATATACTACATGTCTGTCAAATCAACCAAAATGTATATTCTTTTAAATAAAATTTAAATTTAACTTGAGGTAAGGGAACTTAAGTGGTGAAGCAGTAAAGATTTATGTTCCCAACCTAAAGGCTGGAGACTGAATTCACCTGCTGCTGCAGGGGAGAAAGATGGACAATCTCTTCCCAGAGCTTTGGAAAACCTGCTAGAGGGTCAACGAACAACAACCATGTCATGAAGGCTGACGTCTGCCAAGAAATGCCCCATTTAGAGGCCCTCCTCATGAGAGAGAAACACTTTTGCTTTTATCTTTAATATACTGTTTATTCTCAGAAAAAAATATAATTTACATAAATCAATATTTTCCAAGCATTCTGTTAAATGTTTCATGAGAATGCTTTTACTCAAGATTTCTTAATAGCCTTATGAGGTAGATGGTATCATCAAACAACACCACCTCATTCCCTTGGAATTAGGATCAACTCACAGGTGATTTTCCAGTAGATTTGCAGAGGCAATAAATCACACAGAAAAGTGTCCATCTTTATCCTTTGGGATCATTGATTAATTCCAACTGCCCAACTGGCACCACATTTGAGTGAGTGGTGCAATTCCTTACCAGCTATACCATCAGAGCTGTCTTTACAGGTAAAAAGCTAATGTTAAGAGGTCTGTGGACCTAGCAGTAAGTAGCTTCACTGGAATCCTTAAAGTATGCAATACAAGGCCACCAGCTGCTTCTGAGAGAGAAAGATGGGTAATCTCCTCCTTTGCGATTAACTGCCTCTGAAAACCCTCCAGAGGGCCAGCTATGGGTTAGCCTGACTCTGCGGTACACAACACACACACACAAAACACAAATCACTTGTCTAGTTCTGGTGGCTTAGTGGTAAGGAGCTGCACTGCCAATTCAAAAGCATGAGGTTCAAATCCAACCATGTGTGAAAGATAGGCAGTCTCCATCTATGCAATTTTCTGCTTTTGAAAACCCACCAGAAGATTAACTATGCTTTGATTTTTAATCCTTACAATCAATTTGTCTTAGTTTATTTTTGATAGTGATAGGACTAGGATTAAAAAGTGACCCTGTTTCCCTATTATTAGCTTTCATAACTTTTTTTCAATCACTCCTTTGCTTAAATAGATATGTTGTTGTAATGAACTGTCAAGTTGGAACCAACTCATAGCTGACCCTCCAGCAAGTTTTGAGAAGCCACAAATTGAAAGGGAAGAATCTATCCAGCTTTCTCCAGCAAAGAAGCTGGTGGATTTAAACTACATACGTGCAAGTTGGTAGGAGAGCGAGCTCCTTACCAACCAGACACCAGCGCTCCAGTGTGTAGATGTAGATGTATAATAATTTCCAAGCTAAAGAAGAAAAGTGTTTATCCATTCTATATGTCAAGGTTAAAGAAACTATCATATATTCACATAATGGAGTACTATGCATCACTTACAACAGACAAGAAATATTGCACAACCTGGGTGAATCTAGAACAAATTATGCTCAGTTGAGTAAGTCAATCATGAAAAGACAAATAAAAGCTACAATAAAAAGCTAAGGAAATGTTTATTCATGGACTCAATCTTAGATGATTAACAGAGATGAGAGGAGAGAGAGAGGAGTAAAACCTAAATAGACAAATTGGGTTAAGGGGAAGGCAATAGACACTAAGTGCTTAATTGGACGTTGTAACGAATTAACTCCATTAATCAATGTTGTAGTTAATGGTAAAAGACAAAATGTCTATGAGTGATTGAAGGAAAAACAATATGACTTGTAAACTTTAACTAAAAAACCAAGGACTATGACATTTTGGGGTAGTATGTAGGTACACTAATGGAAAACTAATGGAAATAATTTCACTTTGTATTAGCACACTTATGTTAATCTTTCCTCATTATTTTTTGTAATAACCAGTGGAGAAAACCTAAAATTCAACCTTGGAAATGTATAGTGGCAATGCTTACACAACATGATGAATGTAAATAATGTCATTAAAACATAAATATGAAGAATGTGAAAGTAGAAATCTTTTGTTACATATATAAATGATATGTACATAACCTATATAGAGTGAGTTATGTGTATATTTGTAATTAAAAAGTTATTAACATCTTTTTTAAAAGTATAGCTGCTCACATATGTATCAAATAGCTTGCCACTTGATGCTTACTAAACTTTAGCTGGAGTAACTTGCCATTATTATAATTCATGGATACAACGTTTGGTCCTAATGTGTCATTTTATAAGTTAAAGACATCTTCAGAATAATATGTACTTGAAAGTCATTATCTCAGAAGGAAACAAGGGAGATGAGTCCTCACCATTCAGTTTTAGTGTTACTGTGGTTGTTCTTGTTTAAGTTAGAAAACTCGTGTTTCCCTCCGTCTTCACAGTCTATCACGTATACCTTGCCCATTTAGTTAGAGAATAAGTGCTGTAACTTTCAGAACTCATAATATTATTAAGTCATTCGTTAAATTAATTAATGAAAGATGTTTATCCTAGAATTAACAGGCAAATTTCTGACATATGTCAATAAAATGCTAACATAGATTCTATGGAACAAAATAAGAAAAACAATTTGCATTTTATATTACTATGATTGTGACCAACATATTTATAGAACCTTAGCCTCAAACATACCTATGGCACAGGTGTAATAGGTACTGACATTCTTGGTTTGCAGCTCAGCCTATGAAGAACACTTCTAAAGTCACCTAATAAGATACATAACTCTGCTGTCAATTACATTGTTCTCCCTAACACATTTCTAGTTACTAATAAGGTTTGATTGTTCCACTGAAATTGTATCTATCTATAATCTGGGCACTACTTGAGTATTGTATTAGCTACCATAAAAAGATATTGATACTTATATCTGCAATATATATATAAAGCAATGCTACCTGATGTTACTACCAGGAATTCTCCTCAGTGTCCACAGTGCTGGTTTTTCTCACCTGATAAGCTTTTCTTTTTGAGGGTACTCACTGTCATAAACTATGACTTAGACTTTTGCTTCAGGGAAAACATACTGCCTGTCCCTACAGTATCAGGATGGCCTTCATGCTTAAGATCCCTCAAGAGAAACATAACATCTTTTATGCAAAAGATGCAGCTCCCTTGGGAAGAATGTCCTTTGATTGTCTCTCTCAGGACTGAAATAATCTGAAAGTTTGTGTTTAGGTTTATGAACCTCTCCATTATCAGAGTTCGAACATACATTGAGTAGAATCTGTTTCATATACCCTTCTATATAATCACTTCTACCTTCTGTACTCATCAACATAGCAACCTTTGGATACAAACTTATTTGTAAGAGGAAAGACAACACTAGGATTAAACCTGAGATAAAAAGGAAGACCCTAAATTAGGTGGATGGATACAATGACCGCAACAATGGACTCAAACATTACAAAGCGAATGAGGAGGGAGTAGAATCTGACAGTATTTAGTTCTATTATGCATGGGGTCACTCTAAGTTAGAATTCACTGTATAAAATCTAAGAACACATGTTGATTCTGTTCATCATCTTAGAATTTCCCTCTTCCAAAAAAATTGGGCTTACTATATTTGCTGTCTGATATTTTTGTGTTTTAATTCTTAAGCAAACCAGTTTTCTATGCACTTCACACCATTTTCTAGATTTTATGTTCATGTTTTTATAATTATTTTACTTTGTTCATTTTTGTTTGGACTATTCAGTTTGGTTAATTTTATCAAGAATATTATTTTTACTTTATATTCACAACTCTGTATTAATATCTTTATTTTCTGCTATAAATAAATCCATTTTTTCTTTTAGAGTTATGTGTTGGGTCATAAATTTTCATTGGCTATTCTAGTTTGTTTCTGGATCAATTCCTAGTATATAAACTACAGAGAGCAGTGGTGGCCTAGTGGAGGCTGTGCTGCAATCTCAAAGGCACCCAGAGCAAATCCACCAGCTGCTTCACAGAAAAAGGATGGGCATCTCCTCCTGTGTGATTAACTTCTTCTGAAAATCTACAGGAGGATCCTCTGTAGGTTGATTCCAACTTGATAGGACTCACAACAACATATAAACTAGGGTTATATACTTTCTCCACACCTACTCTACATGCTGAGCAAATCATTCGAGGAGTAGGGCTATACGAAGAAGAACGTGTATCAGGATTGGAAGACCCATTAATAACCTGTGTTATGTGGACGACACAACCTTGTTGGCAGAAAGGGAGGAGGACTAAAGAGTGTAGCCACAATTACATATCAGGATCAAGAAAACAAAATTCCTTACCTCTGGATCAACAGGCAGCATCAAGATATATGGAGAAAAGACTGCAGTTGTCAATTACTTCATTTTACTTGGATCTTCACAGCAGTTAAGAAATTAAAAAAAATTTGCATTGGAAAAATCTGCTGCTAAGGACCTCCCAAAGTGATGAAGAGCGATGATGTCAGTTTAAAGAATAAGAAACACCTGATACAAGCCATGGTCTTTTCAATTACTTGAGATACATGTGAAAGCTTGAGAATGACAGAAGAATAGATGCCTCTGAATTGTGGTGTTGGAAAAAAAGCAAACAAATTTGTCTTGAAAGAAGAGAAACTCATAGTCCTTACCTCTAAATAACAGTCATCTTCTGAGAGACTCTTTTGGCAGTCCAAGGTGTATTCAATATTCTTTCCAACAACAGAACTCAAAGCCATAAAAATGTTCTTAAGTCCTCTTTACTTCCTATCCACGTATCATATGAATAAAAAGTGACTGAAAATTCAGTTACTTGGGTCAAGCAACCTTAGTCTTAAAAGAAACATTCTTATTTTTCACTAAAAAAGGTTCTTTTTTTAAAAAAAAAAAGGTTCTTAACAGCAAATTTTCCCAAACTAATATGCCATTATGTTTTCTTATCTGTTGCTTTCATGGGTATTAATTGTACATAAAATTAAATACTAAACAATTTCAAACTTTTCTCAATTTATCTCAATGTTACTTCTCATTCCCATTGTGAAGATTTTTGTTTTGTTATGTTGAAGTGCTGTTACCTCTTATGTTCATATTTTCACACTGTTTTCTGCCTCCCTTCCTCCCTTCCCTCCCTCCCTTACTACCTAGTTGAAGTCATTTAGCACTTCCAGCTTCCCTGATTATATCATATTGCCCATCTCTTTACTTCAGGATATTTTTCTTTCATGGTACATTAGTTTAACCAAAATGCCTTGATACAAATTCACATTAGGTGTTCAAACATTTGTATTGTTATCCTTTCTGTTGTTGTTATGTGCCGTCGAGTCGCTTGCGACTCATAGCGACCCTATGTACAACAGCCCTAAACTCCGCTCTGTCCTGTGCCAATCACACTATCTCTGACACTCCCATCCCAATTATCCCAGTCACTGAATCAATCCACCTCATAGAGGACCTTCCCCTCCTGTGCTGTCCCTCCACCCTCCCAAGCATGATGTCCTTCTCTAAGGACCAGTCTCTCCTCACAACATGTCCAAAGTATGTTAGATGGAGCGTCAGAATCCTTGCCTCCAAGGAGCCACCTGGTTTAACCCTTTCCAGGACAAATCTGTTTGTTTTCCTAGCAGTCCATGGTATTCTCAATACTCTTCTCCAGCACCACAGCTCAAAGGCATCAATTCTCCTTCTAACCTCCTTGGTCATTGTCCAACTCTCTGATGCATAACAAGTGATTGTGAAGACCATGGCCTGTATCAGACGCACCTTAGTCTCCAGAGAGACACTATTGCTCTTCAGTACTTTGGAGAGGTCCCTAACAGCAGACTTTCCCATGGCAATGCGCCTTTTAATTTTCTGGTTACTGGTGCCAAGACTGTTGACTGTGGAGCCAAGCAAACTAAAGCTGTGTACAATTTCAATCTCTTCACCATCCATCCTGATGCTACCAATTGGTCCAGTTGTGAGAATCTTTGTCTTCTTGACATTGAGCCTCAATCCATAATGGAGGCTGCAGTCCTTGACCCTCTGCAGCAGGTGCTTCAGGTCCTCTTTATTTTCAGAAAGCAGGGTTGTGTCATCTGCATAATGCAGATTGTTGATAAATCATCCACCAATCTTGACCTTTCTAAGGTTCATTAATTTTAGAATGAGAAACAAGAACATCATAGAAAGATGAAATATTATTAAAACTTTCAAAAATCAATTTTTAAATTTAGTGATTATATCCTTGAACTAGAGAAAGTAAAATAATATTTTTAATTATCAAATTATGTCTTTACAAGTTTGTATCTTATATGCAGGTTTATGATATGTGTTTAATGGTTAAAAGCTGTGCTGCTAAGCCAAAGGCCACATTCAAATTCACCAGCTGTTTTGTTGGAGAAAAACGGGCAATCTCCTCCCACGCAATGTTCTGCCTTTAAAAACCCATCAGTGGGTCAGCTGTGAGTTGGCTCAACTTGATGGTATAGAATATCTTCAGTACCAATGACAAAAAGCAGCAAAAGTAAGAAACAAAATATGCTATTCCAAACCTATTCAGAGAGTAGATTATGAAAAATATAAAAAAGGGTCAGTGTTTCACTAGTAAACATTTATTGAGCAGTTGGTATAATCCAGAAGTAAACTTCTAATATGTAAAGTATTAATTCATTAGGGTCAGTGAAAGAGAAAATGATCCTCAGTGAGAAGGATTGACAGTGAATGTAGAGATGAGGTCAAGTGTCAGAGAAGATGGTTCAGACAGGATCTGTCTGTGTTCACAGGGTCATTATGAGTCCGACTCAACTTCACATAACAATAACACCGAACAATAAAAACAATCACCCCCTCCTTATAATATTGTATAGTCCTGGCTTAGCTAGAATGAATGGTAAAGTATGAACACCACACAAACACACATAAAATATCTTACGAAAGTTAAAAATTTCACAGTTAATCACCGATTACAAGTCCAGATAATTGCATTAAGTCAAATCTCTGCAGATGCATCAAATAAATGTACATGAGGAAATTCTCATGAGATGACAAACTAGTCAGACTAGCAAACTTGTGTCTCTCCAGTAAGAACAAAAAAAATATTCACACAGTATCACAGCCAAGCATAATTGGAGCACCCTGGAATTTGGGATAAGCAGAGCACTGTCAGGCAGGAGGAAAAGTGAAGATTCAGGTGAGGACCCTGAAGTCCACACCATAAACTGGCCTGTGTAGAGCTTATGCTTCACATAAAGGGAAAATCTTACCGCCATACGGGCGACAACCAGGGAGGATTGAGGACTTTTCCCTTCCACTTCATGTAGACTTCATCTTGAATAGTTTGCTGGTGAACTCGACTCAGGTAAGGCATCCTTCCTTCTCATGATGAGTGGACTGGCGCCATCTGTAGCCTGGTTGTGTGGTACCCTGAGCATGCTCATTCCATCTTGAATATACTACTGAAAGCCAGTGTATGTGTAGAGGGGGGGAAGTTGCATATGTTGATTGCCATGAAAGAGCAGCTCCCTTTCTCAAAAGCTATTATCAGAGATCTACACATTGCTATTGTGAGCCCCTAGCCTGTGATCTCCTGGGGCCTCCATTAGATACTGACTGACTTTGCAAGGATCCAGGTCACACCAGCTGCTAGGAGTGAGCTCTGGGATATCTGCTCTGTGGATCCACCCTATAGCTGATGCCAGTCCAGCAACTTAAAACCGTGATTTTTTTTAAACTCGTGAATGAATAATATTTTCTTTAATGTGTCTATGTCATAATGAAATGATGATCAAATAACCATTGTATCTCAGTTCAAGGATTCACAGAAAATGTTTAGTCATAGTATAGATTTCACTGTGTTTGGGTTTTGTTTGTTTTTTTTTGTTTTCGTTCTTGTACTGCTTCTTCTTTCCCCATGTTCAGGTTCCTGAGTCTTATTAACTTGAGATTCAAAAAGTAGAAACCAATTAAGGTCTCAGATAATATGAATAATTTTAGAGTCAGAAAAATATTCTTGGTCTCCTGAGTACCACCAGATTCCTGAGGGATGTATCGTCTATGTTATAAAGTTCCTCTCAGTCTAGGGCTTTGCTGACCTGAGATGTATTTCTCAGTGTCACACAACACCCACACATAAATTTCTTTTCTGAAGCTCAGTTTTGTGTGAGTATTTTAGGACACGCAATATGTTGTGGATATGTTTTCTATTATTCTAATAGAAAGGGTGAATGGGAGAGAGGAAAAGATGATTAGTATGTTATTAGTATGATAAACTATATGGGTATCAATGCATAGTGATGAGGAGACAAAGCATAAATAATTGTATTGATGCATTCAGCTTCTGTGCTGGTTCGTTTCTTCTCCTCTCTGACATGTCAAGGTAGCCTTTAAAACAATACTTCAAAGAACTGAAGATTACAATATATTACAAAGACAACATTGACAAAAAATTGCATAGTATATATTTAACTTAATTGGTGCCATACTGATCATATTTTAAATCTCACATTTGGTATTTACTACAAAAATAATATATTTATTAAAATATAGTGATAATACTTTATACATGAGGATGATTTTTTTTGCAGTTACATCTGATGAATCATGCAAATTCATGTGAAGCCTGTAGCACCATATTATCCAGGAATGTGGTTTTATACCTAAGAATTTGTTGTAGTTTTGTTATTTTAAGTGCATAACTTTACAGAATTATTACCTAGTCCAGGTTGAAACTATCAGGCAAGTGAAACTTCCAGATAGCTATTTAGGATGATAACTTGTTCATCTTATTCTGTTGATGTTTTTGTGCATTACATGGGAAGACCTTGTGTTTTTGTTCTTTTCATATTTATATTCCTGGACATTTGAATAGCATCTCAGACAGGAAAATGAACAGTGTATTTGTTGCTCTTTCAGTGGTCGAGTGGACAATGCATTGTGGTAAAGTAGTAAGGGACAACCTTCTATGATTTCCAGATGCTTGTCCTAATTTATGTCAGAGTTAAAGTACATAATTGAGGTTCTTGTTCTACAATTACAGCCTTGACCATTTCCTCTAATACATGTCATTACTGTTACCTTTCAGCAGTCATAATTATAAACTCATTTTAAAATAAGAGTTCCTAAGAATTCAAAGCAACAATATGTTAAGGGAGATAAAACTTGTATTTTCTTGATGGCAGCATCATTGAAAGGGAACTCATGCTATCCTACTCATCTGTAGGATGTTGCACTAGTAACCCAAGGGCCACATGTCTCTAACAGGTCAAATCTACCAGCAGCTCAGTGGAAGAATGATGTGCATTCTCCTCTTATGAGATTTACATCCTGAAGAATCTGCTGGAGGGTAAGGTATACGCTCATTATGACTCAAGAGCTGTGAGTGAACTTACTTGAAAACACTTGGGCTTTTCTGGGATATCATTACAAATTTTTTTTAATAGAATGAGTTTTCATAATGTTATAACATTATTATAGATCCAAGGTAAAACTATATAGAAATTAAATATGCTTGTTCTGGATTTCTGGCTTAAACTTTACCTCTCTCTTTCATAGAATACAATGGCCAAGTACTTTTTCTTCTGTGTAGTTAATTTCCATCACCTGTAAAGTGAGACATTGCCAGGTATATATTAAGAAACCAAACTGCATGAAAAACTTTAAATAATTTATATTGTTTCATTTTATACTATACATTTATATTATACTGTTTGCTTATATACTGTAAATTATTCCTAATATTAAAATATTTTGCTAAGTACGTCAAATGAATATAGCAATTTAATTATGCAACACAAAATAGCTACAGTTGTTATTATTAGTTCCCGTATAGTTGATTCTGGATCTCGGTGGCCCCCCTGAGTTGCAGCACAGAATTATGCTCCATAGAGTTTTCAAGGGTGCAGCTTTTCATAAGCAATTTACCAGGTCTTCTGGGTTTCCTCTGTGTGTGTTTAAATCAACAATCTTTTGGTTAGTAGCTCAATGCTTGAAAATGTCATCCCCCAAATATCTCCATATTCACAGAGCTATGTACAACATAGGAAATTACAGATTAAAAATATTTATTTATTAAGCATGGGTTTGTTGTGTTTTTTTTCTGTGCCTGTGCGTTTATTACCCTAGCAAAAAAGAAATAATCTTTTGTGTATTTCCAGGTTTCACCTTTATTAGACTAAATCTAAATAGTGTCTATCTTATCCAAAATTTCAAGTACAGGCCATCTCTAATGTCTCTGGACTCCATGCTCACTTATATGTAGAAGAGATAGGTAGTCCTCTTTCTGTTTTATTGCTTTTCTTCCTCGGGTATTCCTTTTTTAAAAAAATGAGAAGAGATTGCTAAAAAAAAAGAAGAAATATACTTTTGTAGTTATATGGTTCTCTCAGGGCACAGTCTAAGAATTTTGTTGGCAGCAAGAAGTGAAGGCAAAAGTTTCTGCCACTATAATGTTGTGTATTGGCAATACGACATGATCATAACATAAAACATAGCTATTATGCCAGTGCTAACTCATGGAAATTGTATATATTGCAGAATGAAACGATTCTGTAATATTTACTTGTTTGCAAATATTCTGAAAGCAGGTCACTAAGATTTTGTTTGATAACGCTATTGGATAGGTTTGAATCACTGACTGTTAAATAAGTAGAAGATCACATGCCAGTTACACAATCCAGCAAACATAAGCCTGACAGAGTTTTCTCTTCAGAACACTGGGATGAACAGAACGAAGAAAAAGTTGTTATCAACTTCACTTTCAGATGATACTGTAGAGACGAGATAGTGAGACAGGACTGTGATACCTTCAAATTGATGGAACCAAGGTTCCTAGAGGTCAGTTTAACAATGTGCATGCATGACCAAAGAATACAATATTAACCTTTCCAACATGCTATTTTTCTAGGAGAGACAAGAGTTTTAATTTTAAATTAGGAAGAGGCAATAGTTTCTTTGACAAGATGAACTAATTAAATCTAGGAGAACCTATTAAGTACTTTGAGATGCATCAATATTTATTTTCTTTTTTTTTCTATAATTATATTTTATTCATTTTCATAAACATTTACAGAGATTTTGGGCTTCCACTCATTCATTGTTGCACTATTCTCTCTACCCTCCTCCCAGTTTGTT